CATTGTTCAGACTATAACTTGTGACTGGTCTTGTGACTGGTCTTGTGTATGGTCTTGTGACTGGTCTTGTGTATGGTCTTGTGATGGTTTCGACGACAGCACTGGCCTTTAGTTCCTAGACAGTGGTAAATGTGACCAGCTCTAGAAAAATGGGTAATAAGTCGCCAGATTCAGGTGATGAGTTTTTGATATGGCTGGGATGTATCAAAAGCTACAATTGATAATGACCCCTGTAGTGCACTGCATTCCTGAGATACATAGACATTTGTATATCCACATTTTCGTGTACAATAAAAGCACTTAATGAGAAAAAGCTTATAAAGTGTAGCGCTTGGAAACACAATGCTATGTAGGATTTCTTTCTGAATGATCAATTTTTCATCTTAATTCATCAGTATCCATGTTTGTAGACACAAATTCTGAAAATATAAATATTATAGAAGCTATTAAAAGGAAAAAACACAAAATCACATTTTCAAAGAAATTTTGCCCTCTTCAAACGGAACAGGCCATTTCGTGTTTTGGCATGGCGCGACTTAGTACCCTTTTTTGCAGAGCGGGTCACAAATGTGCGAATAGAAGGATTAAGAAACACTGCGTAGGAAACCGAAACTCACATCTGTACTCTGCCAGTGTATGGGTCCAAGACCGTATCAACGGTGTAATGAAGTACTAATGAAGTACTTCAGTCTTCATACTCCCCCTCGTTTGTGCCATAACTGCCCCCATAGCTCAGGGGCTAAAATAGCTCAAGTCTAGTTTGTGCTATAACTGGGACTCAGATAAGAACGTGGCCGCAACAATGACAACATATTGGAAGAGTCAACCCTCGCAGACTGTTTCTCTTTTGAACCAAAATTTATATATTTGTACACTCCCACATTCACTCCTTCTCTATTGACATAAAACACAGTTTGAAAGAAAATTGCACCACAAATAAACACGTTATATCTTACTTTCTTACAGGCGGAAAAAAAATATTCTTAAAGTCACAGAGAGGAGTTTTGATAAAAAACTAGAAATAATACAACAAAGTGAAATTTTTAATAACTGTTGCCATGTTAATGCGTGTACATTCGTTTAAAGACAGCTAAGTGATGAAAAAGATTGTCTTGTATGCTTTGACAATTCCATCTGTCAAAAGCACCAGAGAATCAAACAGTAAAAAATGTCAAGAGAGAGAGGCGTTTTTCATCTCCGGGCTCTAAGACATTGTTTCTGGCTTCCAAATTCGGTCTTTTGATTGGCACAAAAACACTTGTACTGTACAGTAGAATCCACAGTCGCAATGTGTTGAAATTTTTCAGAAAATAACTTTCATTTTTATTGAGTTTATATACACCAAGTTCCAGTTTGAATATGCACAACTACTTAACGGTCCTCTCTTCTGATCTTGAACAATTATCAAAACTACATGGACCTGTTGTAAAAACCAATCCCCCGTCCCCCCAAAAAATTTAAACTGGTCCAATACCGTACATGTTGGGGTTGGGGATGGTCGTGCAATACATCGGCTGACCGAGTCCCCCTAGACAAATTACACGTACACTGAATCTGGCTGCAGTAACACACAGTTCCAAAGGGTTTATCCCCTGTGCAAAAAAAAAAAAAAAAAAGCCATCTATTTCAAGGAACTTGAGTGCCATTTTCTATTACATTTCAGCATTCATTGCTTTCTGGTGCCTGCTACCCTTTTGTGCACATTCAGTTGCACTTCCAAAACAGTTGATCCTCAGTACTCTGGCGTTCTTGCAGGTCCTTGACACTTAAATTATGGAAACTGGTATGCACATGTCATCCATGTCAAGCCCTCACTTGGCTGAGGAAATCACATACAAACAGTGCCCTCAAAGAAACTAGAGCAAGGCCCCAATCCACGCAAATTGGACCCAAAGCCTTTCCATACAATACCCACATAAATCCTGTGTCATCAGACTGGTGGATGGTTGATCACATGCCACGGAATTAGTCATTCTATTCCACGGGACCCGTTGAATAGAATTCCATTTCACTTGACTGGTTCCCAGCCCTATTTCATATATTTTCATTCCCAGTAAGAAAGAGGAAAATGCTGTAGGGATGGGAACCAGTCAAACTCTGCTCGGTACCACCAGTGGGTAGTGCTTTGGACTCGAATCTGTTTCACTAAATGGCCAACGTTAATACGTGTGGGTCGTTTTTCTGACAGTAGTGGATTTACGCAGGTATAGTATAAAACTGTTTCACATTCATACAGTGTTAAGAACAATTTTGTGAGGTGACAGATGAAATGAAATTCTAATTTCATCTGTCACCTCATGAAATTAATCTTACCATTGCACTCATAAACCTTCACTATATAATATCTGACTAATGAAAATTAATTTACTGCATGTGTTGAAGGACCAAGTGTGAGTTAGTTGACGCCCATTCAAGGCAGATACACAGACAACATAATGTAAGTCCACCATACTGGCAAACACATGCACACAAAACACAGTCTTACCCAAAAAAATCTATGATCTACAAAAGTATGGCACAAAATTTGTTTACTGCATAGTAATGAAACAACATCATTGACGGTAGTGAAGCCTCTCAGAATTCTATCCATTGGTGGCAGTCCAGCTACATTACATCATACGCGGGTCAGGCTGACAGTTAGAAGTTACATGTAAAACGACGCAAAGAAATCAAATGTATTTCCTGAACTGGCCAATGTGTCCAACAACCGTGTCCAACAAACATACCATACATTAATTTCAATCATGTTTCCTTTTTCTGTTTGTGCGCGCAGGGGGAAGACAAAACTGATTTCACTTCCCTTTCAATCTTGATTCCAGTAAGATCACTGTAAGAGTGCCGTCAACAAACTGGAATGTGTGATATGTGTGTGTGTGGAGGTAATGGTGTGACTAGAATTCCAGCATTTTGTGCACGCGTACAGTGTGGTCCCTATGCAGATGATCTAGCTTGCAGTTGCATGGTTGGACAAGAGACTAATTAACGGGACACCCAGCAAGCTCAGTCAAAATATAAGCAATTAAATCTTACGGTGATTTGAGTTAAACTTTCTCTTCCAGGAAAATGAACACAGCTGTGGTATCCGTTACATGCACGTGTTTAGGCTTTTTCCCAATAGTTCCACATGAGGGCAAAAACCTCGTTTTGGAACACGCACTGTGTGACAGACGAGTCAACAATTCAAATAATGGATTTCGGAATAGTCACCTTTTTTTTTCTGTGTCTCGCAAAGCTGAATGCAATTTGAGGGTTGCAAATGGATTAGACATTGGGGCAAACATCTGCAAGACTGAAGACTGACAAAACCAGCGCACTCATAGGTACTGTAGCTTGCCATGCACAGGGCAAAGTCTGACTTTGACAAAGTCTGAACAATGTACGAGTACATATATTGCTTTCCAGTTGTAAATGAGCAGGTCTTTTCAAAGAAATTTTCACAGGGTGGGCAAGTGTCATGCTGGCAAATTGTGGCACAGATGTAGTACGCTTCGTGGTACAGGTATCTTTGAATTTAAAGAGGTCAGATTGTACTGGCAAATGGCCTCCCTTGTCAGGAGTGCCCAAATGTTTGCCACGTTGGTTGTGCAGTCTGATAATATTTACTTGAATGTGTAGGCAAAGCCCAAAATCTCCAAGTACCGGTACTTTGCATGTTGAAATGCCTGTATGTACACCAGTGAAAAGAACACTACTAACTTACTTGGTAATCCGAATGATCAACTGAGCAGGGCTGTGTAACTCAATAGGACTTGTCAAATGTCCTGACTGCGTGCACCCAAAAAAAAAACCGGGTCAGCTTTGAAACTTTTGGAGGATTTTTTCCCTTCTACATTTCCAACACCTTAGGCACTTGTTATCGATCCTGGCCAGCCAACTTGCAATGATAGATACAGATCAGCGTCTACAGGTTTCTTTATCGCCACAGACTGAGACAGGAGGCAGGAGAAAGTCCTGAAATACGTGTCTTAGCCAGAAGTAACAGCCGATATGCTTACAGGCATGAGGGAAAATAGAAGAAAAAGTATGCATGTACATTTTTTTTTTTTTTTACTTTTTTGAACTTTTTGGGACTTTAATTGAGACAAGCCACACTTGAAAGAAGCAATTTATTCTGAGGAATACTGCATCCTAGTGAAAGAGGGCAAATGTCAGATGTGTGTTTGGAATTCAAAAGACAGGAGCGAGGTTGCTTGTGCAGCACACATGCACATTTTCAGGAAGCGACTTAATACTAGCCCGTGAAACCTGGTGCGCTACTTTTTTTCAGTAGCTGGGGCGACCAATGATTCATGAATGCAATACACCATTTAAGACATTTCAAAAACGGGAATTCATTACGTCGCTTCGATAGCTTAG